GTTTAGCCCAGATATAAAAATACTTTGTCATCGTTGTAATAAAAAGAAAAAATATTCTACTTGATTTTGTTTTAGTTTTCGAAACATTTTTCAATGATTTTCTAAAATGTGTTTTTGGCCATAACAGTCTTGGTATATAGGGGATGAATACTACAACATTATCAATGATTATCGAAGAACTGATAAAACTATAGAATCGATCAGAATAATAAAGCCATGGAAACAATAGTATATCGGAAAAAATGAGTTTTCGAGAATAAATGCGTAGGATAGTAAGCCACGATCAGTATAATAACCAGAACCAAGTTTATTTTTGGGTAAAAATGTAAATGTAAATATGGCTGTTATTGATTGAAGTAGACCAGTTAATGGCAATGACCAAATTAAACATGAATTTTTGAATATTTCATAATTTTTAAAATATAAATAGAGAGCCAATGCATATTGAACTAAATAGGCTAGGCCAGTTAGACGATGAACAATAAATTTTCGTTGAAAAAATAAGTGAAATAAAAATATCACAGCTCTGGACAGTTTTTGCAGTGTAATCGGAACATCATATAAAAATATTGAATTTTCACTACGAAGGGACGATGATTTGCAGTCATCCGTTGTTGTAGAGATTGTCACAATTGAAAAATGAAAAAAAAAGGAAACCTGGTAAAATTGTTATATATCGGATAGAAGAGCGGCAAAAAGTAAATAAATTGCTTTTTCTTCTCCCTTCAAAGATAAAAAATGTGTTATCACTTTTTCAACATGCAAGTATCATATTTGACCTTTTCAATTTCTTTCTATGAATTTGATATTCCTATACTTAAAATGCACGTTTAACTCATGAGCTTTAATACAAAAAAGCATTATAAATAGAGAATAAATTTCGTATCTCACTTGTCTCGGACAGAGCCCTGTAGGTTAAACCTAACTTAACCTATAGGTTAGATTAGGATTAGGTTTCAAAAGTTATAGGTTAGGTTAGATTGGAGGTTGTGTTTTAATTTTTTTTCGATTTCTTTCTACTTTTGCGCAAGCGAAGTTTTTTTCTGATTTTGAGTCATTCACGCCCTAATTCTTTGAAAGTCAAAAAACTCAATGGAATGTTATGTTTAGTTTTGTCAAATAGGCGTGTAACGTTTTGCTTGTTGAAAACAAAATAACACAAGATACACTACGCTGCAAAAGTGTTCATACGAGGAATGTTTTGATTATAACTCTGTTTCTATAAACCTGTTTGTGATGTCAAATATACCAGATGAACGCTCGATAGCTCTTCTGTATACTCAATAATTTCTTTTTTGGCAGAGTTATAGGATCAATAAGTAGGATGGCTATAGTTTTAGTGTCCAAAAGACTTCAAACGATTTTTCTAAAATTCGTTTCTCTTCACAGAAAAATGGTAGAAAGTCTCGCAATATCTCATTTTGAAGGAGAATGAGAGAGCCACATTTTGGCAAAAAATAATTTTGAAAAGCGTTTTCCTTTAATGTGGAAACGCGACTTTAAGCCAAAAGTACCATACTCTTCAGTGTGAGTGTTGAATCCTACAAAAAAAAATTTTGTCGACACCGCTTGTGCACGAGTACACACTTATGTCGAATAAATGTTTTCCCGAGCATCGATGAGAGATTTTTAGATTCTTCTGCCACCAGTGCGTACCGATGCACATCGATGCCAAGTTTCTTTTCCAATCACCATTTTGTTTTGTTATTGTTCGTTTATATAAACACTATAGTAAACTTGTAGACAACACGACAATGAGTCGAATTACCTGCGGCGGCAACGAAGGTTTGTTTCGCATTGATAGTGTAATTAAACAAGCGGTGAAAAATCTTGCCAGTCAAGACGTTGAACATGGCGAGAGAAACAGAACTTGGAAGCGAATAATTTTTCTGAATCAGTCGTTTTTTTCGTGAAGCAGAATAATGAGTGTACTATTGCAGTTGAGTCTTTTATAGGAGAGTACGCAAGCGGAGTACTTGGGCACAAGTACGTTCTCTAGGAGAACATTTTATGGAAAATGCGATATTTAAACTTATTTGCATATTTAACTGCGGCTTAACATGATTGACTCTCTATATGAATTTCACATGCAGATGAACATAGTATCATTGTTTTCAACAGCTTCAGCTATCCGATGTCATTACTGAGCCACGGCGAACTATTGATTTATTCAATGATTGTATTTGTCGGGGTCCTGCCGTTATAAGTGTCGCTGCTATATCATTATTCGCTCAAATTTTAGCGGAAACTAGCTTTTCTCAGAACAACAGTATATATGCATAGTTTCTCATGCATTTCTTTATTGTCTGTTCATATTTTATACTTCGGTGTTAAACGTTGGTGTACTTCGGTACATAAACTTCTATCTTTATGACAACAACTGATCGTTACATCATGGTCAGTGGCTGACGAAAGTTTAATAAGAGCAAGTTTTTAAAAAATTGTAAGATTTACCTATTTATTAAGTTTTCTCTAGAACGTTGCGATTAGTTTTTACTTGGCTTTCATATGCGATCAGAATATCTTTTTAGTCAAAATTCAGTTTAAGTTTTGTCGAATGAACTAATTATTCTCTGACGATTATGTCAGAAGAGGTAATCTTGTCTCGCTGTTATATGAAAAAGACATAATAATCACAATTTCTTTGACAGAAAAATGACGGACGTATCCGTATACGATATATACTGCCGTAAAATGTCTCAAAATTGACGGATAACGTTCATTTTATAAGATTATCGTCTCTTATAAAAATTCATTTTTTTGGCCTTTTTATATCATTTTATAAGAAAAAATTTTAATCTCGTATTAGATTCCATTTTTAGCCACAGACGACAGTTTGAATAAAGTATAATCGTATCTGTATACCAGTTATTAGATTCAGAGAGCTTCGCCAATTTGCAATTTATAGGCTAACGGTGTAATAATTTGTAAAGTAAGTACCCAGGTGAAAAAATCAGATCAAGATCTTACACGATCTTATAAAATCTTACGAAAAGTCATAGAAACGGATTCATCTTATAAAAATCATACAAGAACCTTACGAAATCTGGTGAAATCTTACTATAAGATCTTACATCAAGAATCAGTTTCTACATTTCTTACAGAATCTTACAAATTTGTATTATATACGAATCTTACGCAATCAGACGGAAACGTACAAGAATCTTATAAGATTTTACAGTAAGATTCTTTCATCTGGGTATGGTTGAACAATAGTATGTATAATAAAGTTGAATAAAACATTAACAAATCTGACACCTTAATTCATTCATACCAGAAAACAATTAATTCACAATTTTCTTAAATAATATAGTGTTTAATTAACTTTTACTTTATTTTATCTTATTCGATTTTATCAGCTCTATTCTCCCCAGATTGCAAAGATACGTTCGTGTGGTAACGTATCAACTAAGGTCTTATAAACAGTTACATTTTGAAGAAGAACAATTTAAAGCATGTACCGACAATTTCTTTTCCCCTACACTGTGAATGGTTGAACAATCATGATCGTAGAAGGAATAATGCTCCGAAAGGGTCATTTTAGTTTCTAGCTTATGAACCGCTTATTCGTGTCTGTCATGTTTTTTTAATGCACACTCTGTAAACAAAAAAATTCATATAACGAATGCAAATGAGACCACTATATACAAAGAGTGTCCGTGGATCAAGTCACATCATTCATGGGTCACATCATCAGTGTGAGGAATACGAACAACCATCTTTTTACTCATGAATTAAGTTGTTAAACAAATATGTTGTCTTCTACTCTACTTTTAGTTTCAGAATGACTACGACAACAATTGAATCATTCTCTGACGAATTGTTTCTAGAAATTTTTGATCACATGGAAGTATTGGATATTATACAATCCTTCGACAACCTAAATTCACGAATAACTCGAATTATCTCAAGTGTTCGAATGCATGTCAAATTAAGTAGAAAAATCAAAATAGAACAATTTGATCATTTCTGTTCGTCAATATTGTATAGAATGAACAAGAAAATTGTATCATTAAATATGTCAGATGAATATTCACCAGGATTAATCGGACGATTCAATTCAAAATTTTCCATCGATTATTTTCAAAATTTAAAAGCATTAACATTGAATAAAGTGTGTGGACAAGAATTATATAGCATATTAACAAAATTACACATGTTAAAACAATTGATTTCCCTCAGTATTAATAGAGATTGTGATATACGAGATGAAGATAATAAAATGATTTGTCAAATCATATTTAGGTATGTTAATAAGGGAGACGCTTGGTGTGTCATTGTAATATGTATAGGTTGCGTGCTAACACGTGAAATAAAATGGTGAAAGTTAGAGCGTTGATGTCATCGAAAATACTAAACCTACTAAATACTAATTCCTTCACTGAAGCAAAAGGCTCATAGAAAAGTGGCTGCGTTCTGAGCATAGAATGATGGGATCCATGTGACTAACAGCATTGCGAATCTGAAAACGAACAAGCCCTCGTTTATCAAATCGACTAACTAGCAAACCTGGCTGGCAACCGATCTGTGTACATATCCTGCTCTGAGTATGTTTTCTTAAGCTTATCAATTTGTTTAAAATTTCAATTTGTGATTGAGCAGTATTTTTCCGAATCTCGATACTCTAAGGCACAGTCTAAGGGCTATTATAGTTCGAGTCGAAGTTCACACTTCAAGAAGTCACACGAAAAACTCTGAAACTTTCCGATAAATCGTGCTATTCTTATAAACGTATGTGACTGCAAAGCAAAATGATGATGGAAAAAAAACCGGTTCACGGTCGGTTTTCCTGAATAATGCGATCAAGTGAAGGTTGGCTCTTGCAAATTATGGTATCAAAAATAATAGCAGTTTGTAAGAATTGACAGTCAATAGTAAATCGTGGTTTACCGAGGATTTTTGATAAACATAGAGAATATGAAAGAGTTGAATAAGAAGAAGGAGAACAGCTGTACGCAGGTCAAAGAATCTTGCTATAAGATGAATCCGTTTCTATGATTTTCCGTTTTTATAAGTTCGTGTAAGACCTTGATCTGATTTTTTGACCTGGGTAAGTGGAACAGAAGATCATTGTTAGATAGAAGTACTTAAAGAGTCCATCTGGTAAGGGTTAGTAATATTGTTATACGGCGGTTCTATCTTATGTCGACATTTGTCATTACCGTTCTTGTTTTTTGCTTTGAAGTTAAAACTTGCAAATGTTAAAAAATTAATAGCATAGGATTAGATAATGGAAAAATCCGTCAATTTCTACAATCAAGACAGATGTGAAGTTATATTTGATGAAACAAAATTTTTCTTTTAAAAAACCGGTTTACAAAGTACTAGCAATCGGTATCATCAATTACATTTGTATGTGTCGAGGAAAGAGGGAATGGACAGTTAGGGACCTTTCCTCCTAAGATGAATCTACAGTTGTTTTGCAGTATAAGTTTAATACTAGAAAGATCTTTCTTTTATACACTCGCTTTACATGTATGTATTTAATTTACATTGTAGTAACCAATTAAAATTGTTGAAATATTGTAAATTACCGTTCTATCGAAGTGAATTTAGTGAAAAAGTGACTAAAAATGACACACTAATTATAAAAAAATTAAGCATTGGTGTTTATTGGTTTCGTGATATTTTACTATTATTCCAGCATGTACCTCAAATTAAAGATTCACGTATGCAAGTGTGTAATGAACGAAAATCATCGTCTACACGTTTTCTGTCTAATGTATTAGGGAATTCTTTGATCGGTATCCAACATTTGTTGACTCGCTTTGAATTATCTATAAACAACGATTATTTTTCATTCGGCGATATTAAATCAATTCTAAAATATTTACCTCAGCTTAAACAATTTTCGTTTTCAGCGTTGACTTGTGGTTTCATATATTTGTTCAAAGGTGATTCCTGGGAAAACATGTTATCAAGGTATACACCATTGTTAGAAAAATTTTCGTTTTATGCTGAATGTCGGATACATCGAATGAAATTACACGATTACAATATCAATACGGATGACATGTTATCAGAATTTAAAACCAATTATTATTTTAATCATGGATGGTATTTTATTTGTGATTATTATGCAACGTACGATTCAAGTATGTTTCATCAAAGAATTTGTCACTTGTTCTGCCTTTCTCTCTCTTTTAGACCGTATAGTGTCCATCTATACAATACCATGCCACGGGAAACATTTTGCGGTGCAATCTGATACGTTAGAATCTAGTACAACAGCATTATTGGATTCATCATTTCCACCAACTGTCATATATAATAAAACTGAATCCTTACATCTGCTATCGAAGGTGATGGATAATATACAAAATCGCCGTTATTCAGCTGTTACCTCACTACGTATTTCTCGTTCGTATTGGCAAATAAAGCCTCAACCCATTACATGGTCTGATACATTTTTAACTGAGATACAACAGTTAGTTGTATGCTCAAAATTGAGAAGACTATCACTATGTGAAAATATAGACACAAAGATCCTGATTGAAATTTTAACTCGTTCGATCAATGTTCATACGATGGATATTGAATGTGATATATTGTCTAAATTTCTACTGTCTGATTCAACATTGTGTTCACTAATCAATCAGATGATAAAAACGTTAAACTTAGAATTAAATGATAATCTATTCAAATTTGATATTGTGGAAGAATTTTGTTCAAAATTCTCGAATATTGAATGTCTTTATATTAACATCGATACAATAGATGAAATTTATCTAATACTACCCGTATTATTGACAAAACTGACTCATTTAACTTATTTGAATGTTTATTACACTGGTATGGGAGTATTTCACTTAAATCACAATATTGAATCATGGTTAGAAGAAAAAACGCAATTATCGAAAGAATGGATTATTGATTCCAATGACTATTATTTAGCTATCTGGATTTAAGAGCATGTTATGAACGGGTACTCGTTCTTCTATATGTGTAATGTTCTAGTTTTTTAAGTTATATTTAGATCTGCAGTTTGTGCAGGGTCGTCAATAGCTGATTTTGTTCATCTGCTCACAAGAGCAATCTAATGGTTCTAAAAAAAATGGTTTTGCTTTCTTGTTTAGTCTCTAAACAACGTGTTTAAATACATACAGCTCATCATTCATTATTATAGAGACAGGTCTATAGAGTTAAAAGTTGCTGATGTTGTTTGGTGCTCATTAGTTCAACAAAATGACAAGCCTAGCGGTGAGTGAGAAATCAAGGCTTCTGGCAGACCCTGACTCACTATCAGTTTGAAAAAAATTCCGATGATACATTCTGAAATTTTCCGTACTCCGTTGTAAACTCATTTATGATATATAGTTATAAGCAGGTCGATCTTTAATCCTATATATTCTGTATACGTTTATAGGTTTAGAGTCGTTAGTTTAGTAGATTTTTCAGGAATCAAGTCTATATGAATAAAAGTCTGTATTAGGTTATGTTGCAATTGTAAAGTGTTCAGAAGAAAGCTTTTAAACATTTTTGCGCCTGTCCATGTTCATAGACAACTCGCTGTTTGTCCATGGATAAATCCATCTAATGCAGATCTCAATCTAGTGACAGTCTACACTACATTGCACAAAAAAGGCTGTTAAGTGGTGGCATTGGCAAATATCTCATCAATCACTGTTTGTCAGAGTAATTTGGCTTTTTAAACAAAATCTTTCACCTTTCATCATGAATCTCAGCATTTTATCTAATGAATTTGAGTACCACACAGGTTTAAAGTGCATCCATGTGACTATAGCAGAAGCACTAAAACGTCAGGACAAAGACCATCCTTGCCTACTTCTAATGTAAACCGATATCAAAGAACTAAAAACCAAACACTAAGTTGTTATAAAGCAGTTACTTACGGTTACGGTTAACCGTTCGAACGGTTATTGCGGTTACGGTTAACGGTTAATAACCGTAACCGTTCCATGCCTAATCTTGTCCTGTCCTGTCTCAGGGATACTTTAAAAGTTGATCACATAACCTGACTAATAACGAGACTAGTCAATGAACTGTTAGTTTATTGCGCGAGTGTATTCGACGGGGTTCTGTCGTTATAATGTATCGCTACTACACCCTTGTTCGCTCAAATTTTAGTGGAAATTCCTCTTGACCACACAATGTGGATAGTTTCATTATCAAGTCTTCTCGAGGTCTTCACATATGCGCATATGTTTTTGCATATGTCCACTGGATGCGCAATGATCGATTACCTCTAAAACGTCATTATTTACTCATAAAAATCTACTTTTTAACGTTTTTATCTTAAGGATGAAACTTGGTATGTTAAAACAGAAAACAAAAGAAATTCTATCGTTATCTAAAGTCATATCCTATCATCTGGTTAAAAATAAGTATTGGACTACATTTGCTGGCAATCCATTATGTTTAAATAAATTAAATAAAATCATTAAACAAAATTGATACAGATGTTGAAATCGGGTTAAGTTTAACACGTTCTCACAGGACATGCTATGGACGAAGGACATTGACAAGCTGTGTACTAGTCAGAGTTCACTTGTGGGTCTCTTGACTAGACATAAGTGGTGGTTGAACAGGAAAGCTCTGAATACTTTATATCAAGCATATGGCATGTCAGCTTTAAACTATGGCTGTACGCTCTATTCTTTAACACCTGACTATAATATTGACAAACTAAGGAAAGTTCAGTATCAAGCCTCCTTGACAGTTTCCGGAGCTATGCGCACTTCTTCTCAATATAAAATTCTACACGATCTTCATTGGCTTCCTCTCACTGATCATTTTCTAAAAATGAGACGAACGCTTTTTCGACGCATAATCACAGGACGTGCGCCTGCATACTTAACTGAACATGTTAAGCTTGCTCCGCTGAATACCAGATATAACACTCGATCTAACAATCGGCGACTCTATATTGTTGATTATTTGAAAGGGACAGCAATTAGACAAACATTTTTTGCATGTGTGCCACTTGAATGGAACAATCTATCTACGGAAATCTCAACATCTACTTCTACGACAATGTTCAAAACCAAATTTAATACCTCGATTTTGA